TCAGGTGAAATATGGAAAGGTTATTTTTATAGTGTTAGTAATGTGTGTGTGTGTGTGTGTGAGTGTGTGTGTGAATATATATATATATGTATTCTTGGCTGCTGGAAATGACCAGACTGGAAGATACGAGGATTAAATCTTAGAAGGGGTTCCTTGCTGAACTGTGATTAGATTGTGAATGCTGCTGTTGCCAAATTTGCTGTGATCCAAAGGCAGCAGCTTGAGCAACTTTACAAAAGGCTCTTAAGCAAAAACAAAAAAAAATGTTCACGGATCAGAGAAAGAGCTTTTTATCTATAAGCCTTGTCATCTCTACTTGCAATAATCTTCATATAAGTAATCATCTCATCATCTATAGATCAATCAGCCTTGTTAATGCTCTGATCTCAGCTCTTACTTTTCAATGCAGCCCTCGTGACTAAGGACTATTTTCTTTGTAATTTGAGTTCTTGATTTAGTGGTCACATTAGTCTTGTCAGTTTGTAGCAGCACACCATGATATTATTCATAACCAGCGATAGTATTATCTGCTATAAAGTTGTGTTGTAAATCAAGAATAGTTGTCATTTTAAATATTTATGCATGTCTGGGGGAAATAATGGTTAGGCAGGCACCCTTTTGCTGTAAAACACCCAGCACCCTAGTCCTTCTAGGGGGAAAGAATCAAGAGTGCAGAGATTGTACGAAGTTAGTAGCCTTTGCTAAAATATTAGGTTTCGAAGTTATTCGGATGTGTCAAAAAGAATCTTTGTTCTGAGGGTTAAGCAGTAAGCTTTTGGAGTTTGCCATTTTAGAGCTCCTTTGTGTGTTGGCTTTTTGGTCTTTGCTGTCACTGGTTCTGAAGGTTGAAGAGAAGAGCTGTGTCAGAAAGCTGATTGGTAGCACAGAATTTTCTGAGACAATCTGAATCACATATTCAGCTACTTTGCCACAGTGGATTAAGATGATCTAAGGGGGCTTTGTGAGCTCGATAAAAATCAGGCAGGAGTGAATGTGTTGGGAGAAATTCTACCCTTTTTGTCCTTCCAAGTTAATTGTTAAAGTTTTTCTTTTCTTTTCTGCCTGTGGAATTTTTGTAGCTTTAGTCCATTGTTTTTAAATAATGTATGTAAATTTTTGAAAACATGCAAATTGGGGAGAATATTTTTTAACCTAAAGACTGCTTGTCTTGTCATTTTTCTTGTATGTGATTGGTTCTGTCAAGTTTGACAAAGGTTTATTTAATTTTCACTGGAGATACTTGATCTTTATGATGTATTTTCTGCTATATGCAAATGCACCGTAAAAACTAAAAGGTGAAAGAGATAGCAATGGGATTCTCGTGTCACTCTTACTTGTTTAGTGTGGCATTGCAGGCTCGCTTGCACAATCCTATTAAAATTATTCACATGTAGGTAATATTTGCATAATTTATAATGTACTGATCAAAATGTAGCTTTTGCCACTGGAAATATGAATGTGCTCTTTGAATATCAGCGAAGATCTCATATATTTTGGCACATGCAGTCGCACAGCATATGTTCAAAAGTATGGAATTTATATTTAAAAAAACAGCACCAAGAATGTGACGATTTTGGCATAGTTGTGATCCAACTATTTCAAATGGAAACGTGAAAAATTGCAAATATAATATAGTTGTTTAAAATGAAACTCTAATAAATTGCACGTGATATGACAGGATTCAACTGACTGCTTAACAGCCCAGTCCACAATCAAGTTGCATTTCCATGTAACATAATTTGGTCCCATTGAAGCCAATTAAATCAAATTGGCTTAAACTCAAATGTCCCAAACTAACTGGGTTGTAGATCAGGTTACAAAAATGGGCAGATGGTTCTCTAAGCATTCCACTGGTGCTATTGAATTGAATGGGAACATGTTTTTGCTTTCAGAGCATTTTTAACAATGGTTGCTAAGGGCAGAACTACATGCTACAAGGGGGACCTGGGGTTCCCAACATATGTGGAAAGAATCAGCCAGTTGGGAAGACGGTTGAGCACATGTTCTCCACTCGGAAGCCTTTCCCCATGTCATTTTTAGCAAGCATAGTCATAGACTGGAAGTAAGCCTGACTGGGGATTAAACATGCTTGAGTGGGGCTTGCAAGGAACAATTATTTTGTTTGGGAAGCAGTATGTATTTCTGCCCACTGATCTCTTCAACAAATGCCCTTCCTCACATGGAGCTCTAATCAAAAGCTACATATGAACCTTATGGATGGTGGCGGCATTGCAGTGCACAGATTGTGTATGTATTCTGCCCTGATCTCCCATTCATTAGCATTACAAAAAAATGAGAAATCTGGGTAAGGTGATGTTGCTGAACCCAGAAGAGGAAGTTGTGGTATTGGTTAAGAGATTCTTACTAAAGCTGTAAAGCAGCTTCTTATCAGCTCATTTCAGGACCTTTACCTTCTGCCTTGACTGAGAGAGGTCCACCATATCAAGGAGAACTATAGATTCTGGAAGGTCCCCTTGATTTGGGTAGTGTCTAGCTAGGTGTCAGAAAATTAAAAAAAGAGAGAGAGAGCAGAATTTGGCCAGATGGTTTTATCTGTGGAATTCCTTCATTAAGTTTTATTTATTGTTAATTGAGTCTAGTCACATTGAGTTGGGGAGAAGTAAACTTAAAACTGAGTTCTTTAGTTTACTCATATGGTAGATTGGGTTAACGGGACATTTCTCTCAAACAGATGTCCCTGTGAGTTTACAAATTAAATATGTGTGATTGGCTCAAACTCATTGGACCTTAGTATGAGTCACACTGGTTGCAAAGTACCCTCTTGAGTCTTCTACCTACAAGACATTTTACCTCTTCAGATGGTGTCTGCTGCAGAGCTGATTTTAAAAAGTGTTGAGTGTAATTGAAGTTAGTGTAGCGATTGGATTTTGTGGCAATTAAATATTCTGCTGTAAATAGCAGTCTTGAAACACAGAACTTTGAGAACATTTCTATTCATAGAACCTTTTTCTGCAGATGAACAGATTTTCACCCATGTAATCTCCATTAGCCATGATCACCTGTTGTGGGTTAGGAGGTACCTGGATGTAGGGACAGCTGTGCTCTGTCAGTGCAACAGAGTATATGGTATTTGCAGTTCTGTGGAACCAGGTAATTGGCACCAGGCAACCTGGGATTCAGACCTGCCCCTTGAAGTAGCTTATTTGTGCATATAGTTACAGAAATCTGCATAGAAATGCTTTCTCCGCATTCAGATATGCCCTAACTGACCCAGGGTGATCATAAGCTATTGCTGCTATGGTGCTATCGCTACCACTGGTCAGGTTTTTCCAAGAGGTACACGGAAGCATTTTAATAGCTCTCTACTTAAACATATATGGATTTTTTTCTGCCAAAGTAGGATGTCAATCAACCAAACACACTCCATGCAAACTAAAGTTCCCCTTAACGCAATCGTTTTATTCAACATATTTACATTTCATTATTATATCCTACTAAGAGGCTTTTGTAACAGGTACTGAGAGTGATGAACTGATTGGAATTGAATTTCTGTAGAACTCTTCCATAGTTATAAAATCTCAGTTGGTAATACTTTAAAATAAGAAGATGGTTTGAGGAAGTAATGCCTATGCAATATTTACATTTTTTACAGTCACCTTTAAGCAAAAAATAAATAAAAAGGCTCCAACAATCACCCATTAGCTGTGTTATTTCAAACTTCAACTTCATTTAAAAATAATTTAGCATTTGGACAGCACAACAAAATAAGGTGTAACAGAATGTCATATAGTATACATTTCATATGTCCTCATTGCCTTAAGACTGTGTCTGGCTTGAACAATTAAATGAAGATAGCTTAGATACAGAAATAGTGTGCTCTATACTGCATGGATCTAATGCAGATACCATTACATGTGCTTTTTATAGCACTGTGAGGAAAATGGTAATAGATTTATTCCCCATGAGTTAAAAAGTAAAAGGCATAAGTAACAATCACTAAAAACATCAAGGAGTTGAAGTTTCATCTTTCTCTTTGCTTATCGAATGGGATTTTGAAACAGTACCAATGCACTCTTATTATTATGCATAATGGATTGCTGCAGTTAGTATGACATCGGGGGGGAGCAAAACCTGTTTAAAGATTCACGCCTGGTGGCCCCCCCTCCCCCTCACTGTACAAATGCTGTATTCTGCCAATAAACAACAAATGGAAAAAGAGCATACAGCCTAGTCTTTGGATTCATGAGTAAAATCTGCAGCAATTTTGCAGTAATGTATGGCTGAGAAGTGAATATTTAAACAGGTTTATTGTACATCCTTGTAACTCTAGCAATCCATTATGGCTAATAAAAAAGTATGTTGATGATGTTTCTAAACTCCACTTCATAAAACAAATAGAAAGGAGAAAACTCTAGGCTATTTATAGACACTTTCTGCTTCCTTCATGAAAAATCCCCATAAATATAATTAACACTTTCAGAATGGCACGTTTTGAAGGCTCATTATCCTACCAAAGAGGCTGCTCCTATTCGGCTGAAATGAATATTCCAAGAAACTTGAAATCTGACAAATTATTAATTTGTCTGGCATGTATTGAAATGTAGAACAGGATAGCATTATGTACTGTAATTGTGTAAAGCAACTTGTTCTCTACTGTAATTATGTCTCCCAGCCCACTGCTCTGTCTCTAACTCATCAGCCTGTGGGGAGGGGCCACAGCATCCACAAGTAGTGATGAGGAAGATTGAGAGACAAATCACTGCCATTTTAAATAGGCAACACTGGGCTAGATGAACCAATAGTTTTACCTAACATACATTTGTATGTTTTTCACTGAATTCTGATTTTATCGTTTTAACTGATTTTTATTTTTTATTGAGTTGAGTTACTTGTCTACTGTTTAGAGATGACTGTAATTAAGTGATATATAAATTGTCTAAATAAATGAATAAATAATCTCTGGCAGCCTCTGTCAATTTCAGCTTCTGTGATAGAATCATAGAATTGGAAGGGACCCCAAGGGTCATCTACTCCAACCCCCTGCAATGTAGGAATCTCAAGTAAAGCACCCATGACAGATGGCCATCCAATCTCTGCTTAAAAACCTCCAAGGAAGGAGAGTCCACAACCTCCTGAGGGAGTCCGCTCTACTGTTGAAAAGCTCTTATTTTCAAAAAGTCGGAATCTCCTTTCTTTCTCCAGAGCAGGAAAAAACAAGCTTGCTCCATCCTCCATGTGACAGCCCCTAAGATATTTGAAGACGGCTATTATATCTCCTCTGTCTCCTCTTTTCCAAGCTAAACAACCCAAAGCCCTCAACTGTTCCTCATAAGGTAGCCCTCCTCTGCACACGTTTCAGCTTGTCCATATCCTCATTTTCAATTTCTCGTACTAATTTCTCATTTGTCAAGTTCAGTTTGTGATTTCGTCACGGAAAATTGTCAGCATTTTAAGTGTGCACTCCTCCTAATATACACATTCTTGCAAGAAACTTTGCTTAATATTATGCATCGTTATATTATTATCACTAATATATGTATTTTAATGCACACTTTCCCCTAATATATGCATTTTGTACAAATATTTTGCTTGGAAACTGCATTGCAAAACTTTTGGTTCATATTTTATTTAGGGTTGGATTTAAGGATATCAAAGAAAAAATAATATGTTTGCTCCATTTTCCTTGGTAAAGTTTCATTCATTTTGTTTTTGTCTCCCCCCCCCCCCCAAGCTGGTTTATCCAAAAGAAAAACAAGACAAAAAAACAACAATAGAAAAGGTGGGGAATATACTATAAAAGGACCATTGCAATATACAAGGCACATCATGAGCTCCTTAAGGAATAAAAACTTCTACCACAACACCTGCCAAATTTGAAATAGTTAGACAAAAGGTCCTTGTGTTATAGATTCCATTTAAATCTGTTACCTTTTCCCTCACTGTAACTTTTCAGTGACCTGTACAGACTATTTCATTTTTTATCCCAATAGAAACAAATAAAAAATGAATCAAGCAAATGAATAATAGATTCTTCACTCAGAATTCATTTATTTGAATTTCCATTAGTTTTTGTAACTAAAATAAACTTGGGGCCTGTTCTTTTAATTGTTCATTCGTTTTTAACAGGAATGCTCACCTAAGAGGAATCATCACAATCGCCACTCCCAAAACAAACCCAGTCAAAGCATGGGGTTCTGCTGCAGTGGCAATGGCTGCTGGGTCAGTCCACACAGAAGCAGTCTCTGTGGAGGCAGATTCAAAAGCGGCCTGTGACTGCCTTCACAGCAATTTGTTCAAATCAAGCTGCATGTTTTAAAATTCACACTTCAAAATGCTAAAGAGATGCAGAGCCAAATATTCTTCTAAGTAGTCACTGGGTACTTAGTGGATGTAATTTTCTCTATAGAATTTAGACAAAATAGGAATAAATTGTCATTAACTGTAGCCTCTTTTTCATAAACTTACAGCAATCTTGGAGTCTTCAGTCATGTGAATTCAAATCTGAACGCTATCAAATGGAATAGAGTTGGGAATGGGGGAGATGAACTGGTATCATACTCTTCCCAGGCTTTCCTTGTTGGAATTGTTCTTAGGTGGTCTGCTCAGACATGGGCACCCTACCAAAGGGAAGCCCTCTGCTGGGTCTTATGACATAGGAAGGTAAAGGTAAAGGGACCCCTGACCATTAGCTCCAGTCGTGGCCAACTCTGGGGTTGCGGTGCTCATCTCGCTTTATTGGCCGAGGAAGCCAGTGTACAGCTTCCGAGTCATGTGGCCAGCATGACTAAGCCACTTCTGGCGAACCAGAGCAGCGCATGGAAACGCCGTTTATCTTCTTGCCAGAGCGGTAGCTATTTATCTACTTGTACTTTGACGTGCTTTCGAACTGCTAGGTTGGCAGGAGCAGGGACCAAGCAACGGGAGCTCACTCCGTCGCGGGGATTCGAACCGCTGACCTTCTGATCAACAAGTCCTAGGCTCTGTCGTTTAACCCACAGTGCCGCCCATGTCCCCCATGACATAGGAAACATGGGTCCAAACCCTGCAGTTGCTCAAAATTTGCATTGTGGCCTCCAGGGCAGCCCTGACTGATGAATGGCTGAACTGGTTCTGAGGGTTGATCATTCACTGACTGCTATATGCAGCTAAAATGAAACGTATTTGAGTCTGCAGTATGGTTTATTCAGTGCAGGCTTCTTGTTTCATGTTGCCTGGCCCTAATATATCCATTCGTAAACATTAAATTATCATAGATAGCCCCCTTTTATACACATACATGCACACATACACACAGTATGGCTGCCCCGTCCCTGTAATCAGGACTTTTTTCCAGATAGACCTTGCCAGAACTCAGTTCCGGCACCTCTCAAGTGGGCGCCATTGCCATTATAAGAGAACAGGGGAGGTGTTCAGGGTGAGTTCCGGTACCTCTTTTTCTATGTAATATTCCATTGTGCTACATAACATATTGGTGGGTGGATTGGGTGTGAAAGACCCAAACGACTGGCTTTATCTAAGTCATACACACTTCCCCAATAAGGGGTGTGTGTGTGTGTGTGTGTGTGTGTAAGAGACATAGAGAAGCAAAACTGTACAAGTTAGTTGTAGCTGTTGGGCAACTTTGCTCTTTTCCCACCTGGTTACAAAAACCTTAGTCTTCGGAAATTGAAATTGAAATCGGTGGAGTTTGCAGTGAATGCTGAAACATTCACATATAATTGCATCTAGCTGCACTAACTGAACTAACATCAGCAAGGGAATTCTCATGGAAGATTCGTCTTCCTCACAGGGAAATCTCCAGCCAGTTTAAAGTGGATGGATGAACTTCCGCATCAGGCCTGCCACCCATTTTTGCAGTTATCATTAGGCAGAGGTGCAAGTTGCAATGTAGATTTTAATCTTTGCTCATAAATCAGCAGCTCCAGTCTCTTAATCTTTTACAGCCTATCTCAGATTCCCTCCACTTTATTGGCATATATCTAGTTTTGACAGGCCCTGGAGACTTTTGACGCTAGTCATGCTCATGTACTTTTTGACAACATGCTTTCTGACTAGACAGTACAGGACTGCCTGCCCGCTGCACCCCCACTTTGCTGCTTTCCAGATCTCTATGAAAGTACTTCTTAATAAAAAGTAGGTTTTTAATATTTTTTTTAACACATCCCAGCCTGTGTAAGTCAGAAAAACATAATCATTTCTGGGGATGTAATTAGCGGGGTAATATGTACACACAAAATATTGTCTTGTCTTTTTCTCATAACCACAATGAAATCATCTTCTTTTATCAAGAGTTTGTTCATATTCCAACACCTACAGTGTTTCTATTACTATTTCTGGGCCTTTCAGTCTATCTGCATAGGCAGTGCAGGCCCAGTGCAGCAGCCTAGCAGCTATAAAAGGTCTTGGAAATATCATGTTGTGGTGGATGCTTAATACAAGATAACTCAAGAAGAGATGATTCTCCAGGAGTGGGAGATTGTTTGTCTGCAATTATTGCAGGTAGCACATGACCACAAGCACCACCTTCTCTTTCATCTTAAACTGTTTCTTTATGAATATTATGTTGGTCTTATTTTCCTCACAAATGTCTTTCCTTTGCACTTTTTTAAATGGAGCCCGCTCTTAGCACAATTCAGTAATGTCCCCTAAGGACAGACTCTGTTTCCCAGACTGAAAAAACAGAACTAGAAACAAATTTACTCTTTTCATTTAGAAGATTACATTTTCAATTTGCCCATTTTAACCAATTTTTCAAGTCTGTGTTATAAGTTATCTTCTTTTCCCCATGGGCTACGGAAATTCCCTCTAATAAGGGAAGGGGCTTCATAGGGGTTCTTGATAAATGCTGGATCTTGCACAAGCTTTTGGCTGCGGGGTGTGTATGTGTGTGTATTATTAATAATATTAATATATTCAATTTATATACTGCCCCATACCCGGAGGTCTTTATATACCGCCCCATACCCGGAGGTCTCAGGGTGGCTCACAGAACAAAATCAGAATATAAAACCACAAAATATATAAACGAAACAAAAACAACTCAATAACACCCCCTCCTTTGCAGCGTATTACAGCAGCCATGGTTGCAATTTATGTCCTTCACTTTTTGCTCTGCTTTGCATGATTAGTGTTTGCTAACCAACCAGAACACAGGTGGCATGTCCTGTTTCACCGCCTGAGGCAAAACAGGATTGTGTGGCAGTGGGCTCCAGCAAGATCTCTTGGAGCTAATGAGATCCCGTGAGATTTTTGTGAGATCTTGCAGAATCTTGCCAGAAGCTGCCCCTGCTGCCCCCAACACCCCTCCACCAGTGGGGTGGGCAGGGGTGGTGTTCTTGCAGTTGTACCACCTTAGGTGGCTTTCCCAGTCCACCTCATTGGCAAGCTGACCTTGCTGCAGAATTTTTGGTGAAGCCAGACACAGCTAGTTTGGCCTGCTGTGATAGTCCTCAGGGCTGTCCCTGCTACTCAGCAGGGTAAAGAGGCCTGCTTATACAGTGGTACCTCGGGTTCAGTACTTAATTCGTTCCGGGGGTCCGTTCTTAACCTGAAACTGTCCGTAACCTGAAGCACCACTTTAGCTAATGGGGCCTCCTGCTGCCGCCGCGCTGCCAGAGCACGATTTCTGTTCTTATCCTGAAGCAAAGTTCTTAACCCGAGGTACTTTTTCTGGGTTAGCGGAGTCTGTAACCTGAAGCATATGTAACCTGAAGCGTATGTAACCCGAGGTACCACTGTACTAGCATATACGATGGCGGTTGGGAATCTGAGTTTATATAGCCATGTAGCAGAAGTTGCCCCCAGTTCCAGCTACTACGCAGAGGCAGTTTAAAGTCCAAAATAGTTTACTATTGTAGAAAATAAGGCTTCAGTAAAACAGTTCCAGACAATAATATATACATGCAGCTAATAATAATAATAATATCCCCAGCCATCTGGCATTTTGGCACCAGCAGGGGGAACGCATTTGATGTTGGATCTCCCTCTCTGAGGATGGAAGATCTGGTGGATCCTATTGCCCCAGGGACACCCACCCAGAGACCACAGAATGACAAAGCAGAAACATTTTGCATGAGTTGAACCATAGCCATGATTAAAATAGTCTTTTATGTAAAATTCTGTGTTCCCATTTGTTATGAGCGCCTTCTTAACTCTGTGAGTGACTTTTCTGTACTACTCATGCCAGTCTTTTCCAGCTAATTTTATGATTATAATGAGGCAATAGTATGCTGTTTAACGGAGAATGACCTTTTAATTGAAAGGCTATAAATTCATTCTCTGTGGCCCACACTGTAACAAATTAAAATAAACAGAGTAGCAAGCCTCTCTGTGTTGCACTGCTTTTCTGGCCAGGTCACTACCAGAATCCTAGCCGGCTCCTTTGTCATCTTGCACTGATTTAAAATGTTCAGGTATTATTTTGTTGGTTCTTTACATTACTATTGTCTTCAAGTCAAAACAAGAGACCAATCTTTCACTGGTTAAATTGAAAGTAATCAACATTTTATTTTATTTTTAGCATCTGGCACTCTGCCTCTTAACAAATGCTTCCTAAAATAATAACAAGAACCTGGGTGGAATAAAGCACAGCTCAGATGGATATACTGTATACAGTATTAAAAAAATTAGTCCCACAATCACAAACCATATGCCGTTTAATTTCCAGATTATGATAAAATAAAATTTGAGACCAAGCCGTTTTGCTAGTTTTTCTTGTGCTGATCATGGGCTCATAAGTTGTG